TTCACCTATGCCCAGTATCCAGTCTTTAGAAACATTTAAAAATTAGAATAGATATGAACACTGACTAATTTCAACAACTAGGAACTAGTGCTTTGTTTTTGCCTCCAGACTTAGGCCAGGCCTATAGCACTACAACTATTAATTTATAAGACAGTGTTGTAGTCTGTCCCTTTCTTACCCCTGTAACCAGCTCTTGCAGTGAGCTCCCCACAAGCCAGTGAAAATTCATTTTTGTGTTTTTATTATGTTAACTGCCAAAATATAATGAGTCCTCATTTTGAAAATGTTTTGAATACTGCAATGTGTGCTCTATTGTAAGTTTCTGGTCTCCCCATACTCTTTCTTCTCTCACCCTCTCTGCTCAGTTTTTCTCCAGTGTATACTGATACGGGTTGAATTGTGTCCATTCAAAAGGTGTTGATGTCCTACCCAACCCCTGAACCTACACAGATATGATCGTATTTGGAGACACCTTCTTTTGCAGGCAACCAAATTGAGCCAAAGTCATAAAGTAGCATTCAATTCAATATGCCAGTGTCCTTGTAAAAGGGGGACATTTGGATATAGAGACATGTATGCACCGTGGGAGAATGCCACATGAAGATGAAGACAAAGATGGAGTATGGTATCAATGTCAAGATGTGAAAACGTTGGGTGTAGTGGCACACTCTTGTAATCCCGGCACTGGGAGGCTGAGGTCCGAGGATGAGTTCCAGGACAGCCTTGCTATATAAAGAGACTCTAGGTCTAAAAAAAGAAAAAGGGAAAAAATGTTTGTGAACAAAACACCAGAAGCCAGGAAAAACACATGGGACACATTGTCCCTTACAGTCCTCAGAATGACCCACATGCAGAGACCTTGTTCTGGGATTTCCAGTTCTAGAGCTGAGATGATACATTTCCACCACTGAAGCATATTTTGTAGCACTTAGGTTACTCTAGCAAATGAATAAATACACTTAACACCTTCTAACTTTCTATTTGTCTCCCCAACAAGAATGAAAGCCCATGAGGTCATAGAATTTTCCCACGAATCCTGGACATGTAGAATAATGTCTGGTACACTCTAGCTCTGAACAGTCATTAATAAAAGTAGCATTTATGAATATATATATATATATATATAATGTATATCTATGTATATATTCCTTTGTGGAATATTCCTTTACACTGTGTGAATCTATGTCACTGTGATTGGTTTAATAAAGAAGCTGACTGGCCAATAGTGAACAGGATAAGTTTAGGCAGGAGAGCCAAACTGAGAATGCTGGGAAGGAAAAGGGCAGAGTCTGAAATCACAAGCAGACACAGAGAGAAACAACATGGGCATGCCATACTGAGAAAAGGTACCAAGGCACATGGCAAAGCATAGATAAGATATATGGGTTAATGTAAATGTAAGACTTAGCTAGTAATACGTCTGAGCTATTGACCCAGCATTGAATCTCCGCGTCGGTTATTTGGGAACTAGTGGGTGGGAAAGAAAAGTCCATCTACAGTTTTTGACTTGCAATAGTTCAATTTACAATTTTTTGACTTTACATTGGTATGAAAGTGGCACATATTTGGTAGAAAATGTACTCCTCTTTCTCCCAATCTCTTTCTTTGGTGGTACTGGAGTGGATCCCAGGGCCTCATACATGCTTGGCAAGTGCTGTAACACTTGCTACAAACCCAATCTTAAATTTTTGGAAAAGTTTTCATACTTAGAAAGTTATTTTATGTGTATGTGTATTTTACCTGCATTTATGTGTGCCTGTGTGCCTAGTACCCATGGAGGCCAGAAGAGGGTGTCAGATTCCCTAGAACTGGAGTCACAGACAGTTGTGAGCCAACATTTGGGTGCTGGATATTGAATCCACATGAACTGAATTAGCAGCCAATGTTCTGGTTTTTTGTTTTGTTTTGTTTTTTGTTTTTTCGAGACACGGTTTCTCTGTGTAGCTTTGCACCTTTCCTGGAACTCACTCTGTAGCCCATACTGGCCTCAAACTCACTGAGATCCACCTGTCTCTGCCTCCCGAGTGCTGGGATTAAAGGCGAATGCCACCACCACCTGGCTGCAGCAAATGTTCTTAACCACTGAACCTCTAGCCCTGAATTTTTGAATTTTATTCTTTTTTTGACCTAGTGGCATTTAGGAAGATACTGCTTTATGTTGCTGAGCATTTGTAAGCTGTGGCTTCCAATCAGCCATGCTCTCACCAAACAAAGTAAATGACTGATACCTACAATAGAGTTGCCATCATTTTTCCACAAGTATGCAATGAATTACCTAAGATCTTCACCACTATCATTAGCTGTCTTTTTGTTAGATGACTTTGCCCAACAATAGGCTAATTTAAGTGTGCTGAGCAGGTTCAAGTTAGATGAGGCTAAGCTATGCTGCTGCTGTTCAGTAGATTAGGTGCATTAAGTGCATTTCAAATTAACAGTATTTCTAATTTATAATGGGTTTGTCAGGATATGACTCATTTAAGTTAAAAATGGAAAGTCAAGGGGCACCTGAACTGTGGAGGAAAGGCTTTGTTTTTCATTTAAAGTTGGACAGTGTTTTCATTTGAAAACAGCCCACAAGAAAATGTTAACTTATAAAGCAATAGCTGAAAATTTTTATCAATTTACAATAAAATACACAATACCTTATAGCTAATTCTGGAGTGTGGACCCTACTCCTGGTTTCCAGACCTTACTCATGACAGAGTGCCTTGATGTGTGTGTGTGTGTGTGTGTATAGATGCATATGTATAAGACAGAAGAGTCCGTCCATCAGAATGCCCATTGCTGATTGTGTGTGTTTTGTTTAAAGTCTGTTCTTTTCCTGAATGAAGCAAGAGATTAGTGGTCAGAGACCCATTTTCCAACTGTATATGGTGGCATGCATCTGTAATTCTAGCACTCCTAGTACTCAGGAGGGAGAGGTAAGATGGTCCCAGGCCAGTCCCAGCTCCATAAAGAGACATTACCCACATCACCACCAAAAGAGAAAACCTTTCTCCTATTCCTCATCTGGTTCTCTTACTATGGCCTCAAACATCTGGGTGGTTGAATGCATGTGTCTGAAAATTATCATTCCAATTTTCGTTTTGTTCATGTAAAACAAATCACTTTTATAAGAATTCTCAGGGTTTTGTTTTGGGTGTGTTTGTTTTCCTCCATCATACTCAGTATATCTCAACAGTTTTGACAGGTAGTATTATTGGGAGGGTAAGAAAACAGACACCTTGTACAGGCACAAAGGAAGTATAAGAGACAGGAGCTAAGTCTCCTAATTCTCAACTCTATGTTTTGTATGGTCTGCTGCTCAAAAGCGCATTTTGTCTCTTTTCACAGCTGGACAAAGAAAGGATGGAATCCAGAAACATCAAAGTGACACGATTTCAGGGCAGGAATCTGTGGCCATTCTCTCTGGCATTCTAAAGAAACTGTGGGGTAGTGAGCAAATGGGGGAGAAAGTGGATTTATAGAAACTGAAGACTTGCTCTGCCTTCCCTTCGTGAACAGTCTACCTTCAAACAGTCATTCCTCAAGCTCAGACACAGCCAGGGAGCCAGCCTTGTGCACTGACCTTGATTGGACTGGGCTCAGAATCACACCTCTAAAATTTCAGCGCTTGCAAGGCAGAGGCAGAAGGAGGAGAGTTCGATGCCAGCCTGGGTTACTTAGACCTGTCTCAAAAACCAACGAACCAAACTAAATCTGGTCCCCGTTTCCTATGACAGGCACTGGCTACCACTTACGGTTTAAAGAAATAAGATGGGCACCCCAAAAGGCTGGAATTTAAAAAGACTATTCCAAGTGCGTGTGAAAGTGTGGGTGGAGAGAACATGGAAGGTTGGGACAAAAAGACCACATTCTCGTGCTTGCGCAAGGGCACCGAGTAGAATGAGTCAAGATTGCAAGTACTTGAGTTTCTCTCAGTCAGCTGCCTCTTCCAGGTGACTTCAGGATCAGCATCAGGTAGTACCACCGAGCCGAAGAGATCAGCAGAGCGAAGGAGTCTTGTTCTGAAAGGTTGGCGAACCCATGCAAACACACAGGTCGAAGGTGGCCGTTCCCCAGGGCCATCTTGTTTTCAGGTTCATTAGCGTTTCTGGGTGTTCTTGCATCACCATGCGACCCTGCTGCAGACCCAAGTTCAGAGTGACTCTGGGCATCCATCCTTCAACCCAAATTCCGGTGGTGCAAGGTTCAGCTTCCCAGCCCTGCCTGCAGTGAGCAAGGCTCTTCTAGAGTCCCACCTTATGGAGAGGCCTTCCACGAACCCTGCCCTACCCTACCCTAAATCCTCCCCGGAGCATCCTTCAGGCTCCCGCGTCCACGCGGACACTCTTAGCAGCCCCTGCCACCGCAGCCCCTGGCGCGGGTCGCGCTCCCGCCGCGCCCCACGTTCGCGGACCCTGGGGACTCTGCCGAGGCAGGTTTGGGATGTCAGCCGCGTGGGTGGATGATGCTCGGTGCCCGCCGCCGATGGGAGGCAGCGTGAGCCCGAGAGAGCCGGGAGCAGTCGCCGTGGCCGCGCTCGAGCGCAGCCTCCTCCCGCTCCCACAATGCACAGGGCGGCGGCGGCGGCGGCAGCGGCGGCGGCGGCGGCTGCATCGGGGGGCCGCCGAGGAGACCGAGGAGACTCCGGGGACCCGGCCTCTCAGGAGACCTCCGAGGAGGCGAAACAGCCTGGGCAACCGAGGAAGCGAGGGGGCTGAAGACGCGAGGCTGCTCAAGGGCGGTGGAGACGGGGGCGGCTGGGGAGACTGAGGCGGCCCTTGGCTGCTCCCTCCACCGAG